TTAGCGCGTAGTCATCATATCCTTACTACCCAATTCCCCCCTCCTCCCCTTTGGTCATAACCTAAAGTGTTCTAATAACCTTAAAAATGTCTTATGCGTGCACTACCTATTCCTTCCTCGTAACCCTGGAGGTATTTTAGGACCTCTACTTTTGGACAGTTCTAGACCTTCCTAAGATTTTAAAGGATAAAAGTCTATGCGTCAATCAAGAATAGTTAGGATTGCATTTAAAAGGAACAATTTATAGGCCCACAGCTACCTCCACAAATATAACAAGTAAATGCACATCTTCAAACAACAGTAAAGTATTTAAGAGAAGATCCTAGAACATGGTATCTGGGTGAGCAGGGATTATACAGTAGTGAATTAGGACAAAGTGTCAAAAATCTATTTAGCTTGCCTACTGATTTAAACCTGTTAAATGTGGACAGTTTTAAATAACCAAAGCATAGTTTCAGAGTTGCAGAATTTAAATCGCCTTATAGGTTTGCCTAAACGCAGAACAGTGATGTCCTAAGAGCATGATATCTATATTGATGCAGTAAAATATCGAACAGTTTTAAACGGATACTTGAGATCTTGTAAACATGTTTTCTAGCAGTAGTAAATTAAGGCAGTATTTGAAAACTCATTAAATAAGCGGACAGTTGATTAAACCAATTCAAAAAGGAACTAACATGGATTAAACCGATTTGTTTAACTAAATTGATTTTAAGCTCTCTAGGTAGGATTTCTGACTTTAATTCCTATAGGCATGGTATCTAATTGTCAAGAGCCGATGTTAGAACTTATAGGCATAATTTCTAGTGAAACAAATGTAAATACAAGTTGTAACATAAACTGAATTTAATTATTTTACATTCTATATGCATGATATCTAACTATAAACCTATTTAGATCCTATAGGCATAATTTCTAATTATAAAGTTGATTTAACCCTATATACATGATTTCTATTATCGAAGCCATTTAAATCCTATAGACATGATTTTAATATTGTGAAAGTAAAGCAAACATAGCAAGTGCATTAACACTACCCTATAGACATGGTATCTACCCGAGTTACCCAACAGATATGTAGCTACCCACCCCTTTTTCACTAATCACCCCAAAGTTGTTTACAAATAATTATTACAAACCAGCTGAATAAATTACATAAACAATAAAGAAAAGAAGAAGTTAACTATAGGGAGCCTGAAGCAGGCCCAAATGACTTTCCCAAACCTGCAATAGACTCAAATGCCAAGGTTCCATAGACAGTATCTCGTCTAGATGTGTCAGAGTTCCCTAAGGACCTCAAGGATCCCGGGCAGTGCTCACACCTAGACTTCTTCTCAAACAAGAACTGATTTAAGTGCAGTGTGGAAATGCCAGCTCTGACATACCAGAGTTTAGAGAAATCTCAAGGATCTCAAGGCAGTACACATGCCAGAGGGGTAGAACCTAACATTCTAGGATTAGTGTGAGAGTGCTTGACATAATTTGTTTTGAAAATAGTACAGAGATGACTTCAGAAGTAGGAAAGTTTTTTCAGAAAATAGGGAATAACTTAGTAGTAGAAGACAGTTTGAGAAGAGTGTCAAACATCAGACAGTCAATTGGTCATAAGAAATATCCAGATTCAGAACACTTCAACAACAGATCTTCACACAGAGATGGGGGGATTATGGCACACAAGATCACATTAGGGGACATTGATAGGGATAGTAAAGACATGTAGTCATAAACTGCATACAACACTTAGGACCTTGGAGACTTAGTAAATAGTTTAGAATATAAATAATAGTTGGCATATCTTGAACAAGTTTTAAATGTATAATATAGACATGCTAAGTACAGAAGTAAGCTAAGTGCAAAACATGCATTGAAAGGATAGAATTTTAGACATGCTAGGTAAAGAAGTACGCAAGAAAGGGTGTAGAACTAAAGCATACATTGAACAGGCAAACTTTAAACATGCTGATCAAAGAAGTAGGCAAAGATACAAGTTGAACCCCATAACTGATGAACTAATGCAAGAATGAAAAATACATAGGGTTTGGATTCCAAAACTTAATTAGAGATATACCAGTTAAGGAGAGCAAGACACAAAGTATAGAACAATGTAGTTTAATAACTAGCCTTGGCTTACAGCCAGCTAGTTCAATAGAAGTAGCAAGTGACAGAAAGAGCGGAAAGCTTTAAGTATAAAAGAGAGTTTTGAACTAGTGTTCCTTGTTATGGTTGTTGTCCGAAACTTAAAAGAAGAGGAGGTGTATATAGGAATCAAAAACTTAACAAACAAGGTAATAAGTCAATTGAGTAGTAAATCAGGGAAACCACACGTAAATCAGCAAGATTTTCCCTTAATCAAGGGACAGCTCAACCAACGGTAAAACATACTTAGTATTTAAGGAAAAGAATAAAGTAAAGCTTAGGTATAGAACGAGTAATTAAGGGTAAACGCACAACAGTTTAATTAAGGAAATAAATCAATAACAATTAGTGGAATGCAAACAAGGCAAGGGAAAACAATTAAGGTAGTTAAATTCAATCAAATTAAGTAAAGAAGTAAGGATAAATTGAGTAAAGAAGTAAGGATCAAATGCTAGATGGAAATAGGTCAAATTAAACTAGAAAATAAGGGATTCAGAGTAATCAAGGGTTCAGGAAATAATAAAGAAAGCAACATGCTTGGCATATAAAATGAGGTAGAGCATGAATAGTCAGGATTTCACAGAACTTTAACAAAACCCATGGTTAAACGACACTGATTCAAAGAGAGGCATACGAGTTTTGCATGAATGGTCAGTATAACACAAGTTCATAATATCAGTGAAAGGTTGAACTAAGAAAATGCAGTAGAATCATACTAGGACAAACAAATCATGAGAAGTCACAAGAATCCAAGGTAAGAACACAGTCAAAGGTACCAATATCCAGAAACCAAATGAAAAACCCCAAAACCTTAGGGTTTTCAGTACAAACGGGCTGGGGTCGCAGCAAGTTCATAAAATTAGTCAAAATGTGCGAGAATAAGAAGTTTAAACACAAAGAATCATTAAACAAAGTTTAAAAAGAAATTCCGGAAACCCTAATTTTAGAAAAAGATGAAAAATCACTTGAAATCATACGATTCTTGTAAAGAATCTCAAGGCTATTGTAAAACACACAAGAAACAAACTCAAATCATCTTAGATTTGTACAGATCTAGGAGGTTTGTAAAAAAAATTAGGGTTTCGAAGAGAACCATACAGAGATAAAGAAACATACTGAAAAACCCTTAGATCGTAGCTAATATAGAACGATCTTACTCGAAATCACACCATAATGGCCTGGAACAGGCAAGAGATGAACCCTAGATACAAGTTGACATGGCCCTGGTCCCTTGAGGACCTTAGAGATGGCAAGAATGACATGAGAGAAGCCATTGGAGGCCTAAGAGATGGTGAGAGGTCACCGGAGATGGCCATAGATGGGGGTCGATGTTTGGAGATTAGGGTTTAGGTTGAGACTGTTTGAGAGCAGAGAGGATTTCAGGGCGGCGGTGTAAATGAAAATGATAGGGTTTGGGGGGGTCTTTGGTTTAATTTAGGAAGAGGGAAATGGTGGTCGTTGATCTTTGTGATCAACAGCCGGGATTAAAGGGTGTGGGGACCGGATCGGGTATTTGGGGTGTGGGCCGGGTATTTTAATCAGAAATTGGGTTGGGTATTGGGTTGAATTGGGGGATAAAATTGAAAATATAATTAGGCCATATTTTAAATAGCCATTTTAACTCTAATAATTTATACGAAATAATAAATGATTTCTGAAAACTAATTTCGTATACTGAAATGGTTTAAAATAGTTATTTAACATTTTAAAAATATAAAAGATCATTTTATACATCAACAACGTAATTATGCATTAATAGGGCTAGTATTGCAAATATATGCAAATTGGCTTTAAAAAATGTAAATGCAATTATACAAATACACTAAAAATATTTAAGCAATATTTTGGCATAAATATAGAATTTAGATAGCTAAATTACCACAAAAATAATTTGAGAAATAATTATTGAAAATTTTATGAGTAAGAAGGGAAGAAATAAATCAATTTGAAGCCTTTAAAATTATAGAAAAATTATAAAAATGCTTATGCATGCTTATATATGTATATATGTTATTTTGAAAGTATATAAAAGTATATAAGGAAAAATTGGGTATCAACAATGACAGCGGATGGGGAGATTGTGTAGACAGAGGAAATAATAGAAAAAGAGATACTTAGGGAGTGCAAGGAACCAGTTACCTTGTATTGATACCACAGTAATGCAAGAAGGTCAGGTGCTCAACGGGGAGCAGCAGCTTCGATTAATTGCTCCTGTGACCAAGGAAGATATTGCCCTAGCAGTTCAGGGGATTGATAGCCATAAAGAACCTGGTTATGATTAGTTTAATTATTTATTTTTAAAAAGGCTTGGCATATTTTAGGCAATGATATTACCAATGTTGTCTTGGACTTCTTTGAAACATGTGAAATGTAGATGCTAGTAAATTGCACCATTATAACACTTATCCCAAAAGTGAAACATCCCTCGACAGTCAAAGAATACATGCCTATCTCATGTTGCACAGTATTATATAAGATCATTTCCAAAGTTATTACCAGCTTGCTACAGAAGGTGATGGATCATTTAGTGGACCACGGTCAAGGAGCCTTTGTACATGGGAGAGTCATCGCAGATAACATAATCCTTAGCCATGAAGTGGTAAAAGGATACATAGGAGTGGAATATCCCAAGGTGCATGCTAAAGATAGACATGCAAAAGGCATATGATACTTTGGAGTGGTCCTTCTTAGAACACATATTGGCTAAGCTAAACTTCGCAGCCACTTTCATTAAGTGGATTATAATATGTCTTAGTACAGTCACCTACTCAATCAACATTAATGGCTGTCCAACCAAGCCTTTTGAAGCAAAAAAAGGGTTGAGGCAGGGTGACCTAATGTCCCCATTTCTATTTGTGCTAGCAATGGATTACTTGAGTAGATTACTGAAAAGATTGAAGAATAAATCCGAGCTCAAATACCATCCTAGGTGTAAGAAGCTACAAGAGGTGCAGCTAGGCTTTGCTGATGATTTATTGTTGTTCTGTAGGGGGGACTTAAGCTCTGTTAAATGCCTATTTGCTTGCTTTCAGCAGTTCTCACAAGCCTCTGGCCTGGTTGCTAATGTAAGCAAAAGTTCACTATACTTTGGTGGGGTTAATACAACAGAGCAACAACAGATCATTGATCTAATGGGATTCTCAAAAGGTGAATTGCCAATAAGATACATAGGTGTTCCTTTGAGTACCAAGAGACTCTCCCTGGTATAGTGTCAACCTCTATTGGACAAAATGCTCAACAAGATTACATCGTGAATAACTAAACACCTATCTTATGCAGGAAGGACACAGTTGTTGAGGAGTGTCTTATTCTTTATTCAGATATTCCGATCATATATTTTTGTTCTCCCAAAAAAGCTAATACTTCTGATAGAAAGAATTTGTAGGAGATTCATATGGACTGGAGGAACTGAGCTGTCAAAGAAAGCCCTTTTAGCATGGGAAAAGTTGTATTTGCCACTTACCACTAGATGCTTAAACCTGCTCAACATTTTAATTTGGAATAAAGTTGCTATTTGCAAACTAATGTGGAATTTGTGTCACAAAAAAGACAAATTATTGGCCAATGGATCCATACATACTATAGTAAGAGGAAACCACATTTAATCAAGTATCCTGGATGGTAAGCAAGATTTTCAAGGCAAAAGGTCCTTTAATGAATGCAGGTTACACTGAACAAGACATGCAGGAATTAGAATCTTTCTCTATCAAAGCAATATACAAGAAACTGCTAGGGGAACATCCTAAGGTGGAGTGGAGAAGATTAGTGTGCAACAACAAAGGATCTCCAAGATGGATCTTCAACATGAGATTGACTGCGCATGGTAGACTATATACTAAGGATAGGCTAACCAATTGGGGAATGATCGAGGACCAGACCTACCCACTATGCGATGAAGCACCAGAGACCACCAATCACTTATTCTTCCAGTGTTCAACATCTGCAGCAATATGGAACAAAATTCTCCGGTGGAAAGGTATAGGAAGGCAAGCACAACCATGGGAGGAGGAGCTTCAATGGGCCATAGTTCATTAAAATGGGAAGAACACCAATGCTGAAATATATAAGATGAGCCTTGCAGGTTGCTTATACTATGTATGGCAAGAGAGAAACTATAGAATTTTTCGACAAGAAAAGAGACCAACACGCATCATTGTGAAGCTGATCATACTAGACATTTTTGTGTTAGGGGATTCACACCCTATGATAGCTAGGAAGCTACTAGATTTTAACTGTTACCCTGGCTTAGGGATGTATGTCATGGCATAGGTAGGAGAATTGGAATATTTGGGAACCTATATCACTGGGGCCAATGTCCCGTGGATATAGGGATAGTTTTCTGTTTATAGCGCTGTAAATATTTACAAGTGGTAATAAAATTCCTTTAATTACCAACAAAAAAAAATATAAAGAAGCGAAGGTTGATTTATCATGGATTTTTTCTTTTCTTGTTTGTTCCAATTAAATTCCAATCATGAAGTTTTCTTGCTCTCTCAATATATGGTTTGGTTTTAGGGCCATTTCGATAGTAACATAACGTCTTATTACTCATGTTCAAGTGCATTTATATTTGGTAAACACATGATTAAGTTGAGATGCCGACACAACGAATTAACCCAAATAGCCTCCCATCCAACTATTTAAACTAAAAATAGCCGGTGAAGATATAATATATGTATAATTAGTGTATTATATATGTATATCATTGTATAAAGTCTATATATATGACTAAAAAAGTAAACAATAAATATGACCAGCTATTTACGCTTTTTAGAATCAAACAATCATACCCCCTATATAATAGAAATCATAAACAAACATAACGGTGCTACAGCTAATTTCAAAATAAAAATTTAATTTTCTTATATAATGAAAATCCGTACAAATTAAAAATGGTTCATGTAACTAAGTAACTGAATAAGTACAGTAAAAAAACTCAAAAGAGAAATCCTTGCATAATAAATAGGACTGCTATGTTTTTTCTAAAAAGCACAAACAGCCAATTGCATGTTAAAAATGCATGAGAGTTGTTATGTGTACTCCCTCTGTTTTAAATTAGATGGTACATTTTCCTTATTAGTCTGTTTCAAAAAGACTAACATATTTTTACAATTAAAAATACTCCAATTTTAAACATTTTATTTTACCCATTAAACCCTTAATGAGAAGAAGAAGTTTAACACTTCAAATACCACACAAGATGAGGGAGGGGAGGGGGGATGATTTGTGTGGTAACCAATTTTTCGCTTAAACTGATTATGGAAGGACCTGGTTCTTCCAAGTGTTCCTTAACCTACTATTGCAGAAATAGTAAATGCGGAAAGTAAAGAACACAAGTAGTTTACGTAGAAAACACCTAGCTCAAAGGGTGAAAAAACCATGAGCTATTTCCCAGTAGGATTTTCCCAAACTCTTCACTAAATCACTGAGCCAAAAACTTCATTTGCAAAAACACTTTTGTAAACCTAGGACTAACTATAATCCTGTTGTGACAAACAGCCTCTAACTGTTGCGACAACTTCAAGTTAACTCTAACTTGAAAACTCTGAGTACCTATTACAATTGCCTCTATATAAAGCTGAAAGGTATAATATGAAAACACCTACTACAATTGAACTAGAATAAAAGACAGACACTTGAAACTGGTTCTTCTATCTGGTTCATGTAGCTTCAGGTTTGCACACTTGAATCACACACAAAATGCTTGCAAAATTGCCTTGCTATTTTGCTCTCAATTCACGTTTAACTTTTGCTTATGTGCGTACCTGTAAAATGAGAACATTCTGCCATATATAGAGTTAGTAGATGAAGAAATAATTAGAGTTCTAATTCTATTCTTCCTTGGTGGAAGAGTTCTAATTAATCTCAACTACTAAATCCTTCTTTATCTTGGATAATGTTCTCTTTGAGTAAGGAGTCCTTCTCCTTATCATTTATGCAATCTTTTCGATCATGGAATATCCATTCTGCTAGCATATGTTTATCCCTTGCATGTACATCTCACGTTCCTTGAGTCTGCATGTGTCTATGTCAACCAGTGATGGACCTGGTTCATTTCTGAGTTCCTTTGTCATTCTTCAAAACTATCCTTTTTCTTGGGCCAACAAATTCCCCCTTTTTGATGATGATAAACTCTGTGCTTCCATAAGCTTAGGCCTATTTCAACTTAGCTCAAACAACGCTTTGTTAGAAATATTTTTCCCTTTTATCACTTATCATCTAGGACCAGGTTCATTAGGTTATAAACATCACTATTCAGAGCACAACTCTTCCCCCTTTTGGCATCATCGATAAGTTGCATAAAAATAAGTGATTCCCAGATTTTAAAAATTACTCATGGCCACCGGGGCAGCTGCAAATGCAATCATGGATTAATCATTGTATACGGTAAAATCGGAGGGTTCAATTTTTCATCGATATGACGTCTCGAAGGCTCAAAACCATGGTCGAGTTTCATCCCTCGAGGGTCATCGACGCTCGACCTCCGAGCAGTACAGACCGACGGTTACTGGGAGAAAGTGGGAAGTTTCCAAGGTATGTAGCTAGAGCCGACAAAGTTTGTCAGGCTAGTCTGAGCCCGCATCATGGCATTAACTAGTTGTCCCATCTCCATATCTTTGTAATAAATATATTTGTACTATGTTAGGATTTCCCCTCATATATATAAAGGGGATCCTTGCCATTTTGTAGATATATTTTGCTCTATACTAAATACATAAGAACATTCTCCCTACTTTCTAACACATTTTCTTGGTCTTATTATTTCATTTATTGCTTATATTTATTGTGTTCTATCCATTGTTCTTCATTTATTGCTTATCATTGGCCATAACAGTCATTGATTTTATTATAACTATTAGTCATCCATCAACTATCCTCGATAGCATCAACCGAGCATCAGACTCGACCCCGAGGCCCTTGAATAGGCAAGCTCGAGGCCCCGATTGTTGATCATTCGGATTGATTATCACCTTCGTCTCAAGCTCTTATCTCGTTTCTAGGTCTTTCACATAGCATCAATTTCCTAACAACCAGTATAAAATAGATCACGTATTTTTAGAACCACTAAATCAAATTTAATTGTTATTACCATTTTCACGGTAAACAGTTTGACGCCCACCGTGGGGCTAAAAATAATAGTGATTATTTTCTTGCTGGTTTTACTATGTAACACAAGTTATCTTTTACACTTTTTCTTGCACAAGATCCTTTGATTTCAGGTCCAAATGTCTGACTCAATAAACAAAAATCTCGAGAACCATGGAGAGAACGGTATGGATGTTCCAGGTGTTGGTGTGCCACCGCTAAACCCTAAGAATGCACCAGAACCAACTCCCATGGATGTAGTCTCACGCGATGCCCAACATGTCGATGTAAGCTCCCACACTAACAGTAGCGCCCACCAAGAAGACCAACAAGAGGCTCAGAAAACCTCGGCTAGGGAAGAACGAGAGGTTAGCCTTCACGTTATTTTTGAAATGTTGCAGGCACAACAACTGGCTATTTCTTAGCTGCAATGTCACCAGAAAACTCCCAGCACTATAGCACCGGGTACGGCTCCCCTAGCCGAGTAGGTACCAGAGAGATCAAGCAACAACGGGTCGGCAGCCAACCTTTCCATCGTAAAGATGCTCGAGGACCTCACAAGGAGGATATAATCGGGCGAGAAGAAGATAGAAGCCAACGACAAAAAGGTCGAGACCTACAACTCTAGGGTTGACCCAATTCCAGGCGCACCCCCGATCCTGAATGGTGTGGATTCAAAGAAGTTCATACAAAGGCCGTTCCCAGAAAAAACGGCTCCTAAACCCATCCCGAAGAAGTTCAGAATGCCTGTGCTTCCAAAGTACAACGGAACCTCGGACCCCAACGAGCACATCATTGCCTACACTTGTGCGGTGAAGGGCAACGACCTAAAGAACGACGAGATCGAGCCCGTCCTACTGAAGAAATTCGGAGAAATGCTTTCTAAAGGGGCAATGATATGGTATCACAACCTGGTCCCAAACTCAGTAGATTCATTTACCATGCTGGCAGATTCTTTCATAAAGGCACATGTTGGTGTCATCAAAGTAGCAATAAGGAAATCTGACGTCTTCAAGATCAAGCAGAGAGAGAATGAGATGCTGCGAGAGTTCGTATATCGCTTCCAGATGGAACAAATGGAACTACCACCTGTCTCCGACGACTGGGCAGTGATGGCCTTCACTCAAGGTATAAATGAACGAAGCTCGGTGGCATCAAAGCAGCTGAAATAGAATCTGGTCGAATACCCCGCTGTGACCTAGTCGGACATTCACAACCAATACTAATCGAAGATCAAGGTCAAGGACGACCAATTGGGAGCCCCCTCGGGCTCGGTATACGCAAACAGGCTTCTGGCAAAAGAGTCAAAACAAAACAAAGAGAGATACCAACCATACACTGAAGAAAGAAGAAACGCCCCAGGCGCAACATACCCCGCAATGACCGAAGAATGGATCGAGGTTAGAATCCTCGGGGACTTGTCAGCAGAGCTGGATTTGATAGGAACACAGGGCCGATAGAGGCACCTCGCTTGTCATAATACAACTTCAACGTCGATGTTTCAGACATCGTATTTGCCATCAGTAAATTCAGAGACACTAGGTGGCCTAGGCCTGTGCAATCAGACCCTTCGCAAAGAAATCATAACTTAATGTGCGAATTTCATAACACGCACAGCCATAGGACCAAATATTGCCACCAGCTCCGGGAAGAAGTAGCCCGAGTATTCAGCAAAGGTCACCTCCAAGAATTCCTCAGCGACCGGGGCAAAAATCAGTTCCGGGAAAAGGAGGCGACCAAGAAGAACAAAACAGATGAGCCACAACATGTCATACAATGATCTTGGGAGGCATCAATGCCCCATAGGAGCCCATGATAAGAAGAACAAAAATATCCATCACCAGAGAAAAACGAATCGGGGTTACATACCCGAGGATGCTCTAACATTCAGCGACGAGGACATCTAGACCTTGTCTCATCCTCACAATGACGCATGGGTAATCTCTTTC